CACACACACTCACTCACTCACACACACACACACACACTCACTCACACACACACACACACACACACACACACACACACACACGTCCTCACCGAAGTCGATGTCCAGCAGCGCCGCGTTTGCTCCCTCTACCAGGATTTTCTTCAGCGGTCCGTGAATTGCATCGTACATGAAATAGACGCCATCCCTGACCAGCGGTCTGATCCTCTCGGCGTAGTCCTGTGAAGGAGCGCGGGTCAGAGACAGCAGCGTAACACAGCGCATGCATCTGCTGTTCAACTGACCTTCAGCTTCTTCAGCTCGCTCTCCACGTCCACTTTCAGAGCCGGATACATGGACTGATACTGCAGCACCAGGTTCTTCACCCTTCAGAAGCGAGTTACCAACACTTCAGATCATCAGCGCTCTGATATGAGCAGCACTGTAAGTAGGGCTGCACGATAAATCCAAATTAAATCGCAATCGCGATTAAACAAAATCTGCGATTGTCATGCGTATCTTGTCAGTGAAGCACGGTTCTGTGATCAGTAGTAATTTCCATCTGAAGGCCAGAGAAACTCCTAATACGCCCCGCAGAAGAAACCCAGGAAATCCCTACAGCGCTAGCTGAATAAACAGAAGATTTAACTGCTTTCATTGATTCAACGTGACTAATAAACGCACGACTACGACAATATATGATTTATCTGAGTTCTTATTATTATAATTTTTCTTATAATAAAGTATATAATAATGCAATGCCTTTATCACTGCTTAGAACACTATGCAACCCTCTACGGACACCTTGGCAATTGAATCGCCATTGGCTAGTACATTTTTTAGTTTACTCGCCAGACTTATATATATATATATATAAAAATGTTTGTAAAATGGCACAGCTCACAACTTGTTAAATATCTGAAAGTACACTCTTAACATCAGTCAGTCAAGCATTATAATATGATAATCAAGTATGATTTAATGATAGAACTTTAGTAATTATAATTAAAACTTGGTAACCATGTATGAATGCAGGTGCTTTATTGGTCATTCAGTGTCTCTGTAAAAAAAAAAAGGGAAAAAACAATAATAGCCTCCTTATAAGATAATAATAGTAATAATACTACAAATTCTACAAATATGAGCATTATAAAATGCACTAAGGATTAACGAGCTGCTGGGTTCATGAATATTAATCAGGTTGTGTGCGTTCGCTTGAACTGATTCGCTGAAATCATAACAGGGATGATGATAGGTGAGCGCCAGCCAATGAGATTGTCATTTGCGCATTAGCTCCGCCCACTACCGGAAAACCCGGCAGTTCTTAAAAGCTGAAGAACTCCAAAGGAACTAAGTTATTTTGACAGGAATATACAACAAAGAATAAAGTTTACATGTAGCGCATCAGTGCTGCATGCTATGTACAGTAAGACTCTCTTTCTCTCTCTGCTCTCACCAAAGCGAAGACGAGTCGTGCGCCGTTACACTAGAGTTTACGGTGCGCCAAATACAGGTGTGCTGCGCATCTATTGAGATTAGTTGAAAAATAGCATCGATCGCTTGATGGAGAGTGAAACTCTGAAGCGCTCAGTCTGAGAGTGTTCGGCGAGTGAAAATATATCTGTGCTAAACTTATACTTAGCCTCCAACTCACACACTGACGAGTAAAATCTGAGAATTTATTAGCCATTGGCTAATATTAGACATAATTTAGTCACCCAGAGTGAAGATTTAGTCGCATATGCGAGTGATTTACTCGCAATGTAGAGGGTTGCTATGAAATATGTTGCATGCCTAATTCTGTGTAAGAAGCCACATAATCTCACATAAGGATTTATTTCAAACACTCGACTGACGTTATGAAGTGAGTTTGGAGTAAAAACATGTTATTAAATGTGGTATTTTCACGTGCTTTCAGATGGAGCAGCATTTACTACACAGAGCCGTAGTTCACTGACGAGCTACGCAAACAGCTGTCATTATCACAGAACGATATCTTCGATTTCATTATCACGCGATTAAATCGTCTGCGATAATGAATGCGATATTGCGTAGCTCGTCAGTGAACTACGGCTCTGTGTAGTAAATGCTGCTCCATCTGAAAGCATGTGCTGGAGATTTACTACTAATCACAGAACCGGCTTTACTGACGAGATGCGCAAGACAATAGCCTTCGATTAATCGTGCAGCCCTAACTGTTAGCAATGTTCTCTCTAAGCACTTCTCAAGTCACGACCGCGCAGAATAAAAAATATGCCGCACAAATGCAAAAATACACGTTCACGTTTTCTGAAAATATTTAGCTTACAGATCTCAGTTTAAATGTTTCAATTTGTTTTTATTCTTTTCTATTCTATTCTGTTCTCAGATTAAATGCTTCAGTTTATTTTTATATTATATTATATTATAAATGTAGTAAATAATTGACCTCAAAAAGGAAATTCATGAGCAATATCTGCTTCATTTTTTCATATTATATTATATTATACTATATTATTATAAAGAGCTGAACTGTACTGTGTGAAATGCTTTTTAATAGAATTTCTTGCTAACACAGCACTGTAAAAAAAACGTTTTCTCAGGTAAACTAAAAATGTGCATAATTTGGTTACATCAAGGGTCAAATTAAATATAAATAACACATTAAAGTTAAGAGTTGCTGTACAAGGTCTGGTAGACAGTTTAGCCAATCACAACACACTGGGCTAGCTAACCAATCAGAGCCCATCGCCTATTTCTGAGGGCGGGGCTTCATAAAAGCAGGAAATTATCAGCTCTTTTTTCAGAGAAGGGACAGAGCGGTGTGGAATAAAGGTAAATTATGTGAAAATAATGTGTTTTTTTCAAACGAAGCATTAACACATGTTAGACTGCACCCCATAAACACAATCAAGCCTAGAAAAAAACCAGTGAACCACCCCTTTTAAGTTACGAGTTGCTGTACAGGTCTGGTACACAGAATGTTTTTGCTCAGGTGGCCGAAATGTTTGCCCAATAGAGAAACGTTTTGCTCAGCAAGAAAACAAATGAGAGGGAACACTGCCTGTAAGATTTGCACAGGGTTTACCTGGTAGAAAACTCGCTGAAATCAGCCATCAGGTCACAGATGCGGAGCCCGGTTCGAGACGCTTTACAGGCGTACGTGGGGCCGATGCCTTTCTTAGTTGTTCCTATGCTGTGAACCAACATAAACATGCTTATAAAACTACCAAAACTACAAAAAAATATTGCATAATGCAACAGAATCAACACATAGGAGGTCAAACTAAATATCGTAAGCGGTTTTATTTTACTTTTTGTTTTGCATTATTTTATATATTTATGTGTCATGTATGAAAGTTCATCATCAATAACATTTTTATTATCATCAATTATTATGAGTTTTGCCATATCTGATATCTCCAGTTAACAGAACAAGTCTAAATAAATTGTAAAACCCTGATTTGTGTGATTTTGATATCTTCTGATTGCAAACTAAAATATTCTAAGCTGTTTTGAGTGGGGTTTTTTTAGCTGTTGAGTATAAGATGCATTTACTTTTATAAATTTTATGGTACTATTTATATTATTAAAATGTTTTATTATTATATGATGTTATATGCAACTAAAATTCGCAACCGGTTACCAAACTGCAGAACACTAGTGTGTATGTTGTCTTCTAACAATTAACTTTAAATAAACAACTATTATCCGACATAAATATAAGTTTAATCAAATGTACATCTTTTATGCATCGGTTGTTCTTACTTTTGTCCTTCCTGAGCTTGTCTCTGAACCTCCTGAAGTCCATCCACGGCCTGATGAAAGTCAAATACTGACACAAACAGAAGCAATCGTACGATCATCTATTATATGTATTTTCCACCATATTTAATAAAAACACTGTTATTTATTGTTATATTACCAATGTGAGCCCGATCTGAGATGACAAGTCTTTTATCCCATCCTTTCAGACCTTATCATGGAAGAAAATTACAAATGATTCCTGAGCACAGAATCAAGCCATGAATAATCAACGAATCGGATCTAGTCAACAGGATTTGTGTAAGGCTAGTTCATTTAAAACCGTTTTGCATGTATATGAAAAAAAACCTTTTTTCTCATTCTTGTCAATCTCCTCGAACAATCCTGGAAGATGAATGACTACGCCGTTACCTGCAGATGAAGACATGTTACTGAAACTACAGTCGATCAGGATTCAGCTTCACAGTCTCTGAAAACATCAAGCAAACCTGTGCTTTAATCATTAAGGGACACGTTGTCTTTAATATATGGAAGCACAGTACAAAAAAAGAAAAAATGTGATGCAAATTTTTATATCACGATTTTGACTTTTTTCTTGCAACTGCGAGTTTAAGATCTCGCAATTCTGGCTTATTTACTCTGAATCCTGAGTTTATATCTCACAATTCTGACATTTTTCTTCAAATTTTGAATTTATTTCTTGCAACTATTACTTTTTTCTTTACATTTTGAATTTATTTCTTTCAATTATTACTTTTTTTTAATAAATTTTTTATGTATTTCTTGCAATTCTGGCTTATTTACTCTGAATCCTGAGTTTATATCTCACAATTCTGACATTTTTCTTCAAATTTTGAATTTATTTCTTGCAACTATTACTTTTTTCTTTACATTTTGAATTTATTTCTTTCAATTATTACTTTTTTTTAATAAATTTTTTATGTATTTCTTGCAATTCTGGCTTATTTACTCTGAATCCTGAGTTTATATCTCACAATTCTGACATTTTTCTTCAAATTTTGAATTTATTTCTTGCAACTATTACTTTTTTCTTTACATTTTGAATTTATTTCTTTCAATTATTACTTTTTTCTTTACATTTTGAATTTATTTCTTTCAATTATTACTTTTTTCTTTACATTTTGAATTTATTTCTTTCAATTATTACTTTTTTTAATAAATTTTATGTATTTCTTGCAATTCTGGCTTATTTACTCTGAATCCTGAGTTTATATCTCACAATTCTGACATTTTTCTTCAAATTATGAATTTATTTCTCGCAATTATTGCTTTTTAAAATTTATTTCTTGCCATTCTGACTTTTTTCTTTGAATTTTTTATTTTTTTCTATACATTTCAAATTTATTTCTTGCCATTCTCTTTTTTCTATAAATGTTGAATTAATTTCTTGCAATTCTCACTTAGTTTCCTCAGAATCATTATTGCGAACGCATATCTCCCAGTCGCTTAACATAAACCCATAACTGCAAGTTCCCTTGTACCCTTTATTCTCACAATTCGGACCTTTTTTCTTATAATTGCACGTTTATGTCCCGCAATTCAGACGTTTTCAGTCAAAATTGTGGGTTTCTATCTTGCAATCCCGAGACTTTATTTATTTTTGTAATTTTTGAACACATACGGTCAATACACCAGATGCAGCAACACTGCATCTGTCCTCCAAAGTTCCTGCAAGACTCCGCTCCTCACCGATGAATGATGTGCATTTGGTGTTGATGATCCCGCTGGGGAGAAGATGGAAGTCATACTCTTCCTCATCCACCACCACCGTGTGCCCGGCGTTATTTCCTCCCTGCGACAGAAGAACCACAGGAACCTCATGCGATGCACTGTGAAGCTGCAGGACGGTTTGCAGTCAAAGGTTCACGCTCTCATGTTCTCTCCAGAAGGGAGGCCTGGAAATGTGCCTCTGTAAGCATGCAGACGGCCGGCTTGCCCTTTCCTCAGACACACGGCCACACCAGCCTCCAGCACGCTCCACCAACCAGCGAGGCTTATTTTCAACAGATGGCCTTCTCACATGTCCAGCAACGCTGGGAATGTGACCCGAGCTCAGGAATTCTGGGACTGACGTTCTCTCAGACTCAGACTCGCACAGCAACACGGCTGGACATGCACGAATACTTTATACTATATGCATATAATAGTCATTTTAACAACATGCATGTGGCTAATAATGATGATAATAATGACACTCCATCCCATATTCAGGCCCGCTTTAGACCGATAAAGTAGAGAAATAAGAACAGAGCAATGTCATGCTTTATTGCACAGCAAACTATTAATATTAAAATGAGTTGAATATATATATTATAATAGAGTAACACATTCAAGCAGAATTTAAACCGCAGAAAATAAACAAATAATCAAATAAAGTAAAAAAAATATGAAATATTATATATATATAGTTTTTTTCCCTTTTCTAGATGCTCCAAATCTGTTCTTTCATAAATGCAACTAATTTTATAATACTAGCTTGCTGTCCAATAAACACAATATTTATCAGTTCTTATTTTTATATTTCTATACGTTCAGTGCAGTTGCATTATATTGCCATATTTCCTCCATAAGAGACCCATAAACTATTACATCGTTTGCAATAAACAAATAATCAAATAAAGTAAAAAAAATATGAAATATTATATATATATAGTTTTTTTCCCTTTTCTAGATGCTCCAAATCTGTTCTTTCATAAATGCAACTAATTTTATAATACTAGCTTGCTGTCCAATAAACACAATATTTATCAGTTCTTATTTTTATATTTCTATACGTTCAGTGCAGTTGCATTGTCATAAACAAGAGACATGGCCATATTTCCTCCATAAGAGACCCATAAACTATTACATCGTTTGCTATAATTATAGATACACATAAACGATACATGGTCATATGATATTAAATAAATCGTTTGTAAATTATTAATTAGTTTTGTTAGCAGTAGCACAGCGTATTAAATTTAGTTTTATTAATGCAAACAATGATTTAGAATATTATTAAAATCAATTAATAACGTTAATGAGATGTAATATTATAATATAATATTTATACATTTAGTAAAACTAATTATATAAGAGTACAGTCACATATTTCAGACGGAAAGTTAGCAGTCAGGTTTATTATTATTGATATATGAAGGAATATGTGTATATTTTGACCGTTATTTTACCTGACACCTGCACACGACGTCAGACTCCGTCGCCAATAAATCTACAACTTTTCCTTTGCCTTCATCTCCCCACTGCGCTCCCAGAACCACGGACACTTTGTTCCCGGAGTCGTTTCTCGCCCGTTTCACGGCGGCGGACTTGTGGTCGTTCGCTGACCGGCCCAAAGACATGTTGAAGTGACCGGAGAGGAACGAATCTGGCAGCCGTTACCGACGAGCGCGGGAGGAACTGACAGAGATGTGTCGCTCGCGGAGGAGTCGGTTCCTTTGAGTGAACTATATGAGTCGGCTCCCTTCTGAGAGCCGATTGGGAACCGAATGAGTCGGCTCTTTTTGCTGAGCCGAGCCAATTGATCCGGATCACTGAAGCGCTTCGGCGTGGCGCGAAATTTTTAGAATAAGGATAAATAACACTTCTTCTATTTTAACTAGTTACTGCTCGGAAATTACGTTACAATAGTTTTTAAAGTTGAACTGCTCCGGTGTAAATTATCTAAAGAGCGCGTATTGTCACGTGACACGTGTTACTTTTCTCAACGCTGGATAGAAGTCGATGATGCTTACTGGATGAGACTTTTAAAACATGTTTCATTGCTGAGGTAGATTTTTGTTTTTATGTCACTAACCAATTTAAAAGATTACACTTGTAAGAGTACAAATGTTTCCATTACTACAAAAAAAAAAACGCATTGATATTTGAATGCGACTCAAAAGAGGATTCAGGTTTCTTTTTTTCAGTAATCATTTCAGTGCATGGACCCTGGAATGGAAGCGATGAAGACATATCACGCTGTTTACAAGTGCAGAAAGTAAAGGATAAGGAGGAAAGCTGCGAGTTTGATCGTAAGCAGTGTTTTGGTAGAAAGCAGTACGGTGGCCGTGAAGTGCAAAACAAATCACAAATCCGAAAACAAATGAACAAGTCAGAAAACACAACGACAATTCAGACAAACCGGAAGAGGTAGGTATAGTTTGAGACGGCGCCATTGGTTTGGGATTACTCACCGCTGATTGGACGAACCAGCCGAAGAACCAGCCGAAGAACAGCAGAGTCGTGGTAGAAAGTTTGGAGATGGTATTAAAGTAGCTCAGTTTAAATGTATTGTATGAATTGCTCTTACTCTGGAATAGAAAATAAGGGGTGTTTATCTACATTTAGTTAAAAGTGGCTGTAAAACATCAGCTCCAGTGGAGCAGATGGATAAATGCGTGTCGTTGGCTTTTTGACGCGATCGACCCGGGTTCGATCCCACCTTTTGCCAAGCTTTTTTCCCCTCCCAAATAATAAGTAATCCCAAACCAATGGCGCTGTCTCAAACTATACCTACCTCTTCCGGTTTGTCTGATTTGTCGTTGTGTTTTCTGACTTGTTATAATGTTTTCTGAATTGTTATTTTGTTTTTTAGACTTGCATTTGCGTTTGTAATTTGTTATTTTGTTTTCAGAATTGTGATTTGTTTTGCACTTCTCTGTCACCGTAAAGCAGCCTTGTTTTGGTGCGCTTCATCACAACACGTCTAATAACGATCACGTGTTCGGCGAGTGGGCGGGGCTTCAGTGTTTCCGCTACAAATGCGGTATTTGACAGGAATCCTGTCACTAAACGTGTTTTCTACCTGTATTTAAATAGTGTTAACAGAAGCAGAAGAGTCGCGAGAGCGCCATCATCAGCGTGTCAATCATTCTGTCCGTTCTGAATTGCGAATTTGGGATTGGCTGGCATGCATCTGGGGGCGGGGTTTAGAAATGAAGGCGTGTGATTGGAGACGAAACGCCAGAAATTACAGCAATTACAAACATTGCAATGAATGTGAGATTGAGTGTTAACAACGAACAAACCCCATAACTGATTGCACTTTTTTATGTATATATAATTTAGAGATTTTCTTGATGAAAATGCATTCCGACATAAATATGAAAGTCACTCAAATGAAGATACTAAACAGTCCAGCTCAACCAAAATATAATTAATCATTTCTGCGAAGAAATTATTTCACTAATATTCTCGACCTGATATCATAATTTTCCAATACTTTTCTGCAATAATGCCAAACATCTTCATAATATATAAAGTTTACATTCAGAGTAATATTAACAGTTAACAGCAAGTATCTTAAAGGTTTGAGAAACACAGCAAAAATCCATAATTAGCCATTTTTTCTCTCCTTAACCACACTCGTATGTAAACAAAGGTTTGGTGTCTCATAAGTGTATTTTACAGTGTGCAAATATTTAAAACAGTTTGGTCAAATCTAAAGATTTAGCATTTAAAAATACATTTCTTTAAGCCAAACTCAAATACACAGTGTACAATGTGTATTTCTTCAAACTACGCCGTCAGTGGTTCTTCTGCAGATCTCATCCAGTCCCGTGAGACCCAGTGAACAGACTCAACTTCTCCTCCTCCCTCTTGTTCTCCTTTTCCTTGAGCTGCCTGCAACATGAGGGAAAAAAGTTTAAACTTTAAGCGCCAACATTAAGCATCGATTTAAGAAGACCGGCATTAAAAGGAATAGTTTCAGTGAATGGGTGCCGTCAGAATGAGAGTCCAAACAGCTGATAAAAACATCACAATAATCCACAGCACTCCAGTCCATCAGTTAACATCTGGAGAAGACAAAAGCTGAGACTAATCCATAATTAAAGACATTTGTTGCTAGGGCTTTCAGAGTGGCTGTTGACAAAAAGAATGCATATTGTAGCTGTTCTGAGTGGTTGTTAGGATGTTGCTAGGGCTTTCTGAGTGGCTGTTGACTAAAGAAGGCATTTTGTAGCTGTTCTGAGTGGTTGCTAGGGTGTTGCTAGGGTGTTCTGAGTGGTTGCTAGGGTGTTGCTAAAGTATTGTAAGCATTTATAGCTTGTTAATACAAGTATGCAATTTAAAAATATTCTGAGTGGTTGCCAGGGTGTTCTGGGTGGTTAACAAAAGAATGCATTTTCAAGTTGGTCTGGGTGGTTGCTAATGTATTGTGAGCATTTGTGGCTTGTTGATACAACTATACATTTTCTAGCAGTTTAGTTAAAAGCGTCTTAATGCTGGATTTGTTTCAGCTTTTGTCTTCTCAAGACGTTAACTGATGGACTGGAGTGCTGTGGATTATATATAACCATCTTATTTGTAAATATCATGGCTGATATTTAGCACAAAAAAAAAAGTCCAACCTCTAAATGCTCCTATTCAGAACAAAGTGTTCTCTTTTAGACACAAACTATTTGCTTTGTTTATCTTTCATTCTTCACAGACAGACAGATTAAAGCCCTGGTTTAATCATGACAACAACCCTAAAACCTGTCGGGTCAAAGGTCACACACTCTCACTGATAAAGTGACCAGAATCTTCACATACCTCTGCTGTCAATCATTTACGGTTAGTCACTAAACCAACATTTTGCAACGTGGTTTTCACTGGTATATTTATCTATTTACATGAATATACACTTCTGTTTGGGGTCAGTAAGATTTAAAAAATATATATTTTTATACTATTATTCAACAAGGATGCATTAAATTGCTCAAAAGTGACAGTAAAGACATTTATAATGTTACAAAAGATTTATATTTCAAATAAACGCTGTTCTTTTGAACGTTCAATTCATCTGTGAATCTTGAAAAATAAAATACGTCACGGCTTCCACAAAAATATTAATGTTTTCAACATTGCTAATAATCAGAAATGTTTCTGGAGCAGCAGATCAGCATATTATACTGATTTCTGAAGATCATGTGACACTGAAGACTGGAGTAATGATGCTGAAAATACAGCTGCGCATCACAGAAATAAATTACAGTTTAGCAGATATTCACATAGAAAACGGCGGTTTTAAATTATAATAATATTTCACAATTTTTACTGTATTTTTGCAGCACTGGTGAGCCCTTCAGAAACATTAAAAAAAATCTTACGGACACCAAGCTCGTGTTAATTAAGAGAATAATGATTCATCATAATTAAGTTGCTGGTTAAAATTACAGACGAGCAGATATATTTTTGTTAACACAAAGAAATGGAATCAGTTCCAGAAATCTGATTTATACACACATAAAGAAATGATTCGACAGTCTCTCATGACGAAAGAGAGGAGGTTTATTTGACGGACCGGAGACGAGAACAAACCACAGCAGATCCCCACGAGCTCAGGACGAGACGATGTTAATTACAGAGTTGGAGGACTAGTCAACACACGTGGGTAAGTAGACAGGACTGGTTAGAAATCGATTAGGCGGCTTTGAGCGGACGTCCTGCTCGGTTCTGTTAGTTCTCTATGGAGAGGTGTTTGACCTACCTCACTGCAACACCTTCTAGTTTAGCGTAACTTGATGTGCTGAAACTAAAATAAAACTAAAACAAAACAAAAAAAATAGAATAGGAATAGCTTTTGTTCTTTTAATATTTTTGAATTGTTTTTAGCTTTATTTTTTCGTTTTCATTGAAATGTTTTAGTTTTGAAAATTACTGGACTTAATGACTACAGGCCTGTGGCTCTAACGTCTGTGGTCATGAAGTCTTTTGAAAGACTGGTGCTGGCCCACCTGAAGGACATCACTGGACCCTTGCTGGATCCTCTTCAGTTTGCCTACAGAGCAAACAGGTCTGTGGACGATGCAGTAAACATGGGACTGCATTATGTTCTGCGTTGTTGTATGCATTTGTCATTTCTATTTAATTTCTTTTATTTTCTTAAAAGCTTTTTAGCTTTTAGTTTGAATGACTTTTTCTTATTTGTGTATGTTTGAATTGTTTTAGCTTTATCTTTTCGTTTTCATTTAAATGTTTCAGTTTTGAAATATTGTTGTATGCATTTGTCATTTTTATTTAATATATTTTATTTTATTAAATGTGTGTATATATATAGTATTCATAGAGTTTTAGCTTTTAGTTTGAATTACTTTTTCTTATTTGTAAGTCGCTTTGGAATCAAAGCATCTGCTAAACGACTAAAAGTAAAGCAAAGTAAAGAAACCAAACTAGAATCTGATTAAAAATATGATTATATACCAATATATATATACATAACGAAGGCGCATTCGTTCCTCCCGGCCTGAAGGGGCGCTGCGCTCCTCCTGCACTCACATGCCAACACACTTAAAGTCGCACAGAAGAAGTCTTTAAACCGCCGCTGAGGAACCCACGAATATTATTTTCACGCATTTATTAATTTATTAAGTGAAATTAAATCATGGCTTCAACAAAAGAGCTTTTAGAGATGGATCTTTACGCTTTATTGGGGATTGAATGGACCGCAACAGAGAAACAGGTGCGTTAGTCTTGAGAGAGCTGCATTCGGAAGCCGTTTCTGTCAACAATACAAATATTAATAATCACGAAAGCATACACAGCAACAATAAAATAAGAGTATTACTGTATCGTTTCTATCACATTTGGAGGTTATAGAGGGAGTGTTCGGTGTTCAGGTTATGAGTACAAGACACTGAAGTGTTTACGTGTCAGAAATGAACAAATTACTGATTAATTCCTTTGTTTACTTTAGTTTATGTTCAATATTTCAGTGTATTCTCTACCTCAGGCGTGTAATGACATACTTTTGCGTATTTTATATGTTTTAAAGACGGTTTTAGACGTAAAGACACTCACATGGCCTGTTTTCCTGATTGGTTTCTGTAAGTAAACACCGATATTGAAGACAATAAGCTTCACAAGTAATATCGTCTGGAACCAGAATGAAGTTATTTTGAGTGTTAAATTAAACTATACAGTATATATACAGTATAGTAGTGTATGAGATCTAGTTTGAGGCCAGTAGGTGGCGCTGCAGTTCAACAAATGCGAGAGAAATGTCCAGGTCAGAATTTAATTAATTTCAAATTATTATTTTTAATTCAATTAAAATGATGTTTGAATGAGTATATCTAATTAATACCAGTACATTAAATGTTTATTATATTTATGCATTTATTATTTTCACGATATAATTTAGCGTATTAAATATATTTAATTTTCTGTATTATAAAGTTATTTTATTTTCTATATTTTCACTGTCGTGTATATTTAATATTATAAATTATATATATATATTTCATACATTAAATGTATTGTAAATTGTTAACTACGTGTATAAATATTAAATGTATTATTCGTGCATAGTGTAAAGCGTTGTTATGTGTGTTATGTGTACATGATAGATATTGTGAATGTTGCGCATTCTGTACATTGTGATATAAATACATGCCGTAGACAGAGGGATTTGATAAATGTTTAATTAATATATATGTATAATTAATGTTATTTCTTACAAATATTAAAAATAAAATAGTAGCTTTTATATATATATATAAATATCTATATACTGTATGTATATACAGTGGTGTGAAAAAGTGTTTGCCCCCTTCCTGATTT